TAAGACAATAAACTTATCACATGTTACCCATTGCTCGGGGCCAAAAACTTTTGCAGCCAGTTTGATTTGCGGTCGTCCTGGCTTTGTTCTGTATACTCCTGTGTCCCCACTCCTGAGCCTCCGCCTGTCAGGCCACTGATATGCGACTCAGGCTCTGGTCCTATATCGCATGTTATTTAAGTATTTCATCAACTTTCGATGCACAGTCAGCAATAATATTGTCTTAGACACATTCTCGAGTGCAAATCTAGGAGAGGAGAGGAGAGGCGAGGCGAGGCTCGGGTCTGCTTTGCGGTCACAGCCGGTCGGTCGGCTTAGTCGAGCATATATAGAGTGGGGCGGGCTCCTTCAAGACGGGTGAGAGAAGTGCATACAGAAACTCGAGCTTCTGTATCTCGGGGCGACATTTGTCAGACGCCAGCTAAAGTAAAATGAGTTGAGATGGGCTGCGGCTGCGGCTGCGGCTGCGGCTTTCTGACAGATTTGATTAAGTTTATTTGCCCGAATGGGACAGCCAAGTGGGCAGCCGTGCCACATGATACACGGCATAAATAATTCCCATTCGTTTTACTGGGATATGTCTTGTGTTTTTTAAAAAACCTCCTACCTGTCTCGATTTTTCAACACTGTCTTTATGGTTTCACAGACGTAAGTTAATCGAAAGTTAAATAACTCTGAGCTGAGCTCCCAACGTCCTTCTTCCACAGCCTCAGTACCCAAAAATCGTCCACCCACCGCTAAACGGAAAACTTTTCGCTTCAGCCAAGACGAAAAGTTTGGCTTGCGTATGCGTAATGTGGCAGTAAGTGTTGGGCTCGATTAAAAGAGGATTTTATACATTCTGCGCTCTGCTCCTTGCTGGAACTGGAGCGTATGCCTTGGCTCGTCAATGTGAAGATATAATTTCATGTTATCATCGCTTTGTGACGCTACAAAAAATGTAATTAAAACATAAATAAACTTATTTCTAAAAACTGCTTTAAAAAATAAATAGAAATAGAAATATAATGCTCTACAGTCAACAAAAAACAAACGAATAAACAGCCATAGAGTTTACAAACAAAAACGGAAATAAACATTGCAAAAAGTTTTGTAGCGTTCTTTTTGCAGATCTTTTTTCTAGCGGCATTCGCGCACTTCAGCTCAAGTATGCGGTCCCTATTTACATAGCCTTTCTGTTATATTTTTCAACTGTTCGTATATAAATTTTCACCAGAAGCCTGCCACGACCAAAAGCAGAGTTTCTCCAAAGTCAAAAGTACTTGGAGCGTGCCGTACCCTCCCCCCCCCTTGGGTATGTTTGCGCTTACGTTCCGGTGACTTTTCTACGAGGCTTCAAAGATGGATTTTATGCGCGAACCGGTTAGTCCTGGCTAAGGCTCATTGTCCAGTTGACAGGTTTCCAAAACATAGTGGCACGTGTGACAACGAAAACAAACAATGTATTCAGGGCTGACCCCTGCTGCCAGGACTGACCACTGATACAAATTCCGACAATGGACACATTAAAAGGATATCATAAGTGTTGACCAATTTGTACTCGTGCTTTCATGTTTTTCAATTTTACGCAACATTAAAGTTGACCTAAGGTCATTTAATAACCGGCTCAGTCCGTGCTGCGATAGGAAACCAGTTTCAATACCCATTCCCATTCCCACTCGCCCTTGCCTTTGCCCTCGCCCTTGCACACAATGCAACCACCAAGGCGGGGAGGCGTCACTCGAAAACTGCTCCTGGACAGGGGTCAGGGATGATGCCAATTGGTTGCCTGACATTTTGTTTTGCGGCTCGTGCTTACATTTTCCAATTTGTGGAGGGGCAAATGCAACACTTGACATGTGCATGAGCCCTGAGCTATGTTTGGGGTGTTGCATCCAGACAGAGTGCATGCCAGACGGGGGGGCTGACTCCACTTTGTCATATGCATGTTAGCTGACAGGTCTCTATAGTCTATATAGACAAGAATTGTGTACTTATTTGGTTGAAATATAATAATTTAAAGTTACACATTCGATTAGGCACACCCCTCTCTCTCGCTCACTCTCTTCTACTTTACCCCTCGCCACGCACCAGCACTTCTGTCTGTGCATCCTTTCGCTTGATTACAAAGATTACAAAGCCCCACAAAAACACCTCCTTGCTCCTGTCCGCCTCCAACAAAGCGCCTTTTGTGCCCCAAAATTTGGTTTGCTGCCAAAGCAACAATAGCAAAACCGTTGCCTACTCGCGGGGGTTGTCAACAGTCAACAGTCGACATTCAACATGCTCCTGACAAGAATTACATCTGAAAGCCAAAAATAAAATTGATGATTTTTGTTTTTCCTCGAACACTCCGAGCACTTGAATGCTAGTCGGTAGTGTGGAACGGAACTCCAAAGATCTTTAGATTATTAAAAATGTTGCACTGGCAGGACGACGGCACTCCTACTAGAAAATGTTGACGTTTCGTAAATTAAAGTGACTTGTCGCCTTCGGGCTTTCATTTTACTTTTGGCTTTTACTCCTGGCACCTCGTGAATGCACAAATTATAAAAAAAAAGAGGAACGAGCAGCGAAAGTGTTCTTAGATTCGAGTCCAAATAGTCGCATCTTGTGGCTTTTGGAGACGCTGGCGTTAATCAGCAGTCCTTGCAGTGCCCACAGAATCTCCAAAATTGTTGCTGCCTCTTCGGGAATGCCCATTAACACCCGGTGGACATGCTCAATCGAATGCAGTTCCATCATTTGATGTCTCTAAAATTGACATTATTATTATTATTATGGGCATAATCCTTATCCAATAGATAAACAACAACCTAAAGTGATCTCGCACATGCATCAGAGACAATCAGTCCATTTCCATTGTCCACCAGGAGCGATTTTCACTTCTGCCCAGTTATCTGCGTACCGGCCCGCTGTGCCTGCTCTCTCTGGTTTTTTTTTCCCCACCCAAAGGATATTCTATTCAGCTGGGTACTTTCCATGTTTCAGGTCAATTTAACTGACCCAAGGGACTAGTATTAAAATATAGTGTTTTTGATGAATGTATTCGATATAAACAGCAATAAACCCAAGATAATCCACATTCTTACTTAGTTTTTTCGTCGTGCGTGTACTTTTTCCACAATTCAAAATCGATAAAAGTATAGAATATCGATACCAAAAAAAATCACTTCTTGTAACGAAAACTTTTATGTGATTTTTATGGTCACACCCTATAGCCCTCTAGCGGTAGTCCTGCGGGGCAGAATATCCCGTTATATCCCAGCCCTCTAGACCTCTGCCGGTAGTCCTGCGAGGCAGAATATCCCGTTATATCCCAGCCCTCTAGACCTCTGGCGGCAGTCCTGCGAAGCAGAATATCCCGTTATATCCCTGCCGCGCCACATTTTTCGTGTCGTGTCGATGGTCACGTATTCTACATGTCCTCAAATTTTCAACGCACGGAAGGAACTTGGTCTACCATGGTACCAAAAACGGTACTTTGTACCCAAATATATTACGTTTTCCTAGGGACGAAATCACTTATTTGTATCTATATTTATTCATATTTGTTCAGCTTATTCGACTTTTCCGTATGGCACACTAGTTTTCCCTTAAGGATACGATTAGTAGAGCTGATGCTACCAATGATAGAGTCACCTGCTGGGCCACAGCGCCATTACAGCCGAGATTGTTTAAGCTGATGACATATTGGGCTTCGTCGGGCGTCTGGCATTCCGGATCAGTGCACGAGATCTCTCCAAAACTTTGAGCTTGCACGGAAAAGAATAAAGGGGGACACGGCTCAAAGTCATAGCCAGTGCAGGCATCGGTCAGATCGTAGCTATACGATCCCAAGGCCGTTGACTCGCAGCTCTCCCCATCCCTCAGTGGGGCGCTTAGATTTCGGAACGGCAGTGCAAGACTCCGTGACGTGCAGACTGTAAACGTTATTGATGATATTGGTGATATTTTGAGGTAGCGCATGCTCTGCCTGACCGGCAGGTAGAGCGAATCCAGTCGGTAGAAATTAATGCTGCCCAAACGCTCAAATTGCTTCAGAGAGTTCATGCCAAACTCACTTATGGCTCCGTTGGAATAGCAACGTGGATTGGAAAGGCGACGGGGAACTGCAAATAACATAAGACATATGTACGTGAAATCTTGTCCAATGTGAGGCCAAGAGATGCCAAGCTCTTACCCTGCCGAATGCGTGTAATGACAGGGTCGCCACATAGCTCGGGTGACTTTTCAGTGTTCAGCACAAACAAATCTTTACTGGGGTCTTGCACAAAGTCGTGGAACCTCACTAGAGCCCCACCGCCGTAGTAAATGAAATGCAGGTTCGGAAGACTCTGCCCGAGACGCTCTATATAACTTTGGCAGTAGTCGTAGTCGCGCTCATTCACAAAGGATGTGGGACTTGGGATTAGGAGAGCAATTAGTGAACGTCCGCCAAGATTGTCAGCGACTCGATCCGCTTCCAGTAGATCCTCCACTCTGTTGCTTAACGTATTCAGGATGAGCGGAAGATTGAATCCAGGCGGGTCTGAGATGCCAATAATAGATCATCATACGATTCTGTGTACGATCTAGATGTGTACGAGAACTTACGCCAGTAGTGCGATGTGGAATTCCATTCTTCATACACATTGATAATGTAGTCCGTGGTGTTTACAAGGACCGAGGCATCGGAAGCTGCAAAAAGGGTTACCTTGCTGGCATAGGGATGTATGTTGATGCCCTGGAGTACATACCTACAACGAATTATTCAATCACAATCACACAATGAAGGAATCCCAGTAAAGAAAAACTTACGCCACGTAGTCCACCACCCAATTGTAGGGCCAATATGTGTCGACAAACACATAGATATCCGTGATTACTGTTGTCAAATTGGAAACATCGGACCATTGCTGAAACGGAAAGAAGTCCATTATCGCTGAAAATGAAACAAAGAACAATAAACTTTGATTAGTTTCGGTGCCTGTAAGGGGCCTAACTATCGGGAACCACTGTTGAAATAAAAGGGGTGTGCATAGTTCTAGTTGGGGACTTTATTCTATTTCACTGGAACATACAACTAATGTTTAAAAAACGTATAGGATTAATGTAAAACGACACAATAATTAACCCCACGGTTAGGGACGGGAAGGTATATGTATTTTGAACTCTGCGACTGCACCACAGTACCACTGCACTACTGTACCACTAATGCAACTATTGCAACAACTTTTGCAGAATCAAAGCGAACATTATTGTCAAAAGACTGGCTGCGAGTCCCGAGACGCCGCTGTAGCAGCCCATGTTGGTCATAGAAACAATGTAACGCCATTGATTTGGTGTCTGGCATGCGTCCTGTGTGCAGGATGTGGTGTTGGTGGTGGCCTGAACTGACAGATACAGATCAGGACACTGTGTGATGGTGTAGTAGCCGTTGCAAGCGCTGGACAGGTCATACGAAAAGCTGTTGCCTGTGATCTGAGAGCAGGTCTGTTCAATGGTGTTCGTGTTGGTCGAGCTTGTCGTTGAGTTCTGCTGGGGCCACTCATAGCTGCGCGAAGTGCAGATAGTATAGCTCCCACCATTCTGGGACTGAATCGTCACGAGGCGGTTGGAGCCAGTGCCGAAGAAGTAGTTGGCTGACACACGATAGAAGTTGACCATGCCAGGGCCGACGTACTGGTCCATCTGGTCAGTGCCCCAGCTGCTTGTGATCCAGGTCGATCCGCAGCGTGGATTGATGATGCGACGAGGTACTGAAAGACAAACATTGTCATTGCAACAACTCAAACCAAATGAAACTATCTTCCTACTTTTTGTAATGCGCTTGGCAACTGGTCCTGCCGAAGTGGCCACCGTACTACCCAAGGTTAGTGAGAACAAATCCTGGGTGGGATCACGCACAAAGCTGGCGAAACGCTGAATGCTTCCGCCACCATAGTAGATGAAGCGCAAATCTGGTATCTGCTCTTGAATGTACTGGATTTCCGTGGTGGCGTAGGACGAGTCACCATCGTTGACGGTCTGCTGATTTGGTATGATCAGGGCCACCAAAGAGTGACCGCTCAGACTAGAATTGGTCTGCTCGGCGTTCATTAGGTTCTGGGTAATGTTCTGAATCGTACGCAGTACATTGGGCAAGTTCAGACCCTGGGCATCTGTAGGGGGAACCAAAAAAAGTTAGACTGGGATGCCAAATGCCTTGCCGGCAATGACCTACATGTCGCCTGTGTCGTCACATTCCACTGTTGGGAGACATCAGTGATGTAGTGTGTGGTGTTGACAATCACCGACCCGTCCTGAGCCGACAGCAAAGTAACTGTGCTGGCATAGGGATGGATATTTAGCTGCTGCATGACGTAGCTGAAAGGGACCATCGAGTATAGTAAAGTACAAGTTAATAGCCCAATGGAAAGCCAACTTACAACACATAGTCAACAATGGAGCTGTACTGCCAGGAGGTATCCAGGAAAATGTATAAATTGGTCATGGGAGTGATGACATCCGTCAAGTCCAGACTGCTGGTCGCCGTGCAGGAAACATCGTTCAGGGATTGCGCTGAGTCAGTGGGAGAAATAAAAAGAAAAAGGGTAATCCACAAGGACAGAAACGCAATGCATTGCTTGATTGCATCGTTAATCTAATAAGCTCGCAAAGATCCTTTGGAAATTTACTATATGATTGTACAGAGTGGTTCCGCGATAGTGGTTCAAACAATGATCAAGATTACTTACGCACATACGTCACCAGGGAAAGGGCGGCGGTTGAAGCAAATTGGGTGATTGCCAACGGCTGGAGGGTGACACGCAACTGCATCTCCCGATCCAGGACCTGTGCGAAGGCACTGGTCTGCTCTGCCATTTCTGCCGATGGGGCCACATTGGGGAACTGGCTCTGCCGACTGCACGCGTTGACCCCAGAGCTTAGCACCCCATTCGTGGAGTAGTACATTCGAAGCAGTTGGGACAACTTTAAGCTGGACGCCTGCGTTCTCCAGTTGGCCACATTTTTGGCCAGAATTAAGCCATCAAGGCCTCCGCGAATCTCGGCATCGGTAGCTTCCAGATTGGTGCGCTGCGACAAGAAATACCAGTGCGGTAGAACCGTGTCGTTCCAGCCCCCAGTGGCGCCGACAGAAGCTGCATTGTTGGTGGACACCGGCACCTGCACCAGCGTGACTTCGGCCAAGTCTCCGGCCAGAGTAGCCGCCCAGCGATTGTCAATGCTGTTGGTTGTCTGGGACTGACTGCGTCCTCGCCCACGTCGTTGGCTGGCCAGAGCCAGCAAGGTGTTTAGCTGGACTGTCTGCTGCTGTACGCCAGCCGCAATTCCAGCTATCACGGTGCCGGCGGAAACGGTCCCCCAGGGGGTACGAACAAGGCCGTCTTCAACGGGACACTGGCTGGTGCCTTCCGTGCCCGAGTAAGCCCAGTCGGTCTCGTAGTCCAATTCTCCGAACTGAACATACTTCGAGTCTGGGATGGCTGAGCGTCCCCGCTTCGGACGAGTGTCTTCACTCAACCACTCAACATCGCCGATGAAGTTGTTCTCGTCGTCGTTCTTCGCTGACCGCGGCAGGCGGTGCGCCCGATATTGGGAGAGCTGGTTACAAACGCTGTTCTCGTCGCCGCGCACCCTCGTGTCGAAGGTGCTGGAGAGCATGAAATGTAGAGAGCATCGTTCCACACTGGTCAGCGAACTGTTGGGAAAACTGTTGGCATTGCCGGGGATGAGGCGCGAAAGCAAAATCCTAAACTTGGGAAACTGGAAGCCGGTCGGACTGTAGGGAATAACACCATCGATGGCAGTCACACCAGGGGCCCTCTTGATACCGTCCTGACGGAAGCGATGGAGCAAGGACACCGCCACTGTTCTAATGTCCGCCTGTACGCCGGACGTGGGGTAGCTGTTTTCCACCTTCTCGATCAGCGAAATGAGCGTGTCCATGTTGGCGGGTAGTCGATTGTCTCGGTTCATGAAATAGGATGTGTTGTAGCATTCCACGAGTGACGGTGGTATCTGCAGCATTGCATTTTCCTGTGCCTGCACAGTCCCCAGTATAAGGGTCAGACCCAGGCAGAGGGCTGCTGCCATGCAATTGGTGGGTATCATGGTGTGGTATGTCGTTTTCGTTTGGAAACCTATAACAAATTGATCTCGATTAAGCTTTCGATTGGTTTTACAATTACACATGCACATATGGTTAACCTTTTGCCTTATTAGGCTAGCCCTGACCCAAAAACATTCTAGACAGTAATAAATTCTGATATCGTTGGCCTGCCAGTGACTGAAATTAGTTTTGAAATTAGACCTATTTTTCACATTCCAATGGCTCACTCTCCCAGTCCGTATCGCAGTGGCCTTATCAATGAACAGCAAGCAGAATGGGCTTTTAGGTGTCTCAATGTTTACTCGTTGTAAATGCCAAGATACTATATTGATAACCTCATTGTGAATAAAAACAATAATTCCTTAAAAACGTTACTAATCGGTTGATAAATGACTAAGGGATGAGTACTGGTAATATCTGAGTGAATAGGTACAGTTAAATTGAGATCCGTCGTTGGAAAGCAATAATGTGTCACTTCCGGCTCTTGTCGCGTCCGCCCTTACAACACGTACGTTGGCTAGCTGACATAGATCCATATTACAGCCTAGATTATCGAAGGGAGGGTGACGTCATGTCCCGAATATTCCTTCACTCCACCCCGAAAAAAGTCACTGTAAACGAGAATGAGTCAAGTGCAGATCACACAAACACACAAATGTATATGGTATGTATGTACTGCAGTGATACCGTTATCGGTTATCAGTTGTTATAAGATCAACAACGAATTTTTGTACCCTTTTCTTCGGACTGCTAGCTGATATTTATTGGCATTGCCATACAACAGATAATACCGCTAGTTTGCGATACGGGGGTACCGACAACTATGAATACTATGCGTACACAGGAAAATGAGTCAGGTGTAAAACTCACAAAAGAACACTACAGACCTGCGCCCCAATTTATGGATTCACTATATATAAGCCAACACACTACAATTGAAGCCACTGTGATTAGATAACAAACTAACTTGTGGAAACTCTCAACTTTTAGTTTTCGGGGTAGTCCTTGCAATTGCTTTAAGCTGATGATTTCATCCTTTATTTCTTTTTCTTAACGTAATCCATAGCACAGTTCACACTTTTATTACAGAATAATTCCTTTTTTTCGATCCGTCACTCTTTGAAAGTCTTCTTCCATCTACCGATGTGCACAGCGCTTTCCAGCATTACCTTGTTCCACCTGTTGGACTGTTCGTACTGAAGTTGGGTTTTTTGAGCAAGTTAGTGCCTCGCCCATGTGCAAACTGAGGCAAGTGTGGTAATCTTTGAGAGAAGCTTATCAGTTGTTAGACTAATATCAGTGATAAGATATGGCCCGTTTGGGACTGGGTGAATAATTCTGAGCAAAATGTGCAAATCAGTTTTTTATATCACTTCAGTTAAACATTTTTTCTGATACAGCGTTAATATCTTGAAATAATAAAATAACAACAATATATAAAAATAACAGAATATCATTCATCTATTTTCAAAAAAGAATGGCGCGATTTTTAAATTTTAAATAATCTACTAGCGCGTGCTTATTTAGTGCTGTGTAATTTCCAGCGGATGCGCAGCTTCACAGCACTGCCGATTAAATTAATCGGTTTTTTTGTTTGTTCTGAAATTAACGGAAAGTGAATTTTTAAATTTCATCATGGAACCACCCCCGATACGTACCCATAGGCAGGATCGTCTAGATCGGTACCGTTGTTGATGGTGGAAGAGACAGGGGCAGCAGCAGCGGAGACTTTTTACTTTCATCAATCTAATTTTTCAAAGGTACATTTAAGAAGAATGGGTATAGAAAATTACAAACGCAGTTTTTTTTAATTTTCGCTCACAAATCGCCATTCACTTTCAAACAATTTCTATTTGGCGCTTAAGTTTGGTGGGACTTTTTTGGGATTTCCTCTGATGGGATTTTTCCTCGCCACAATGTCCCTACATTCCATACTCACTAACGTTTTCTCACGTCTTATGTTGCTGGCAAATTGTATGGGCCAGACTCATGCAACATTGTGCATACCCTGGGGGAATGGATGATATAGAATTGCAGAAATGTTAGTCATTTTAGGCTATAACTAATGCAGAAACTAGATAGTCTCTGTTTTAAACGATATTTTGCAGCTCATCGTCTGTTTACTGAGACCAAGAACTGGTACTGGGACCAGGATTTTTATACAAACACATAATCAAATGCATGAATAGACCAAAAAAATGCAATCTAAGACAAGGTCTTTACTAATAACGTTTGAAAGCAGGTTGTAAAATATCATATTTATATAATATTCACGAAATAGGGTATACAAACGCCCATACCCTGGTTGACAACAAATGAGTCTGCAAATACCAGCAACATTGACGTCACAACCTGCGACTATTGTTGAAACCGTGTTTTTGTCAAAACAAAAAACATGCAAGTACTTAAAAGTAAAAGTTTCAGCAATCGTATAAAATTATCTGGGCAAAATTGAGAGATCTATATAGCTGGGAATATTCGACGGAAGAAAGAATAACCAAGAATTAGTCGTCATAACCGGTTCACAACAATGAGTCCCATTCCATACACACATACCCTGGGGGTAATGGACGTTATAGAATGGTGAATATGTTTGTCATCCCAGGCAAAAACAATTTATTTGCAATAATTTTAATATTATTCAATATTATTTAATATTATTTTCAATATTTCAACGAATTTTTAAAGCTTATTGTCTTCTTGTAGGTAGAAGGTATCAGGTATCAGGATCGAGGTATATATACAAAACACTCCTCATATACATGAATATGTCTATGAAATGTCAATTTGAGAAAAGGTCTTTATTAGTAAAGTTTTATCTTCTTATCAATATTTATACTTGCATATAAAATTAACAAAATAGGGTGCACAAAGGCCTATACTACGGCTCACACGTAATACAGAGACTCTTTGTTGAACTTTTTCGTTTAAACCTTTTTTTTGCAATAAATACAATAAAATCAAGGATTAAAAACCATCCAATCTTGTAGAATATTTATTCATCAATGGGATAAAATTATATGGGCAGAGCTAAAGGTTTTAGTTAGACAGCATTATTCATCGGAATAAATTCATCTTACGTTTTATTACGTTTCATTTGTTGACCTACTTCGCTAAAAGAAAATTAGAAAATTGATTCACTAATCGGATAAAATTATGTGGGCATAGATAAATATTCTATATAGCTGGGAATATTCGACGGAAGATCAAAATTGAGGGAATCGTCGTATTTGTTGAATCGGTAATGGCCCGGTTGACAACATTTAAATCCTTGTCGCTCGCATTCAAAAAAGTTAGATTTGGCGCGCACTTTTGTATATTTCGGGGCTATTCTGAGGGTCATACTGTAGAAACTGGTTTTCGCCGCGCTCCCATGTGCTGTTTTTTAGTGCTAAATGGTATTTTTGTCAATTATTAATTTTATTTTCAATGTTATATAGAAATCCAATTAATGCAAGTATTTCGAATAGGCCAATAATGTATAGAATTGATTCATCAATCGTATAAAATTGAGTGGGCATGGCTAAATGTTCTATATAGATAGTATTATTCAAAAGAACAAAGAATATGAGGAATTGGTCGTTTTTTGAATCAAATTTTAATTCGCCGCAGTTCGCTTTAGCAACAATGAGTCTCATTATACACAAACATGTTGCTAACATACCCTGGGGGAAATGGATGTTATAGAATTGAGGAAAAAGGGTGTACAAAGGCCTATACAAGCGTTATGTCTTCAAATTCCAGCGACATTGAAACTGTTTTTTTGTTGAACTATTTTGCTTAAACCTTGTTTAGTCAAAATACAATAAAAGCAAGGACTAAAAACTGGCCAGTTAAGTAGAAAATTTATTCATTAATCGTATAAAATTATGTGGTTATAGATAAAGGCCCGGTTGACAACATTTAAATCCTTGTCGCTCACATTCAAAAAAGTTCGATTTGGCGCGTACCACTCGGTATATTTTTCAAATGAGACCGTATATTTTGAAATATTTCTGTGGGACGATATATTTTAACGATAAGTCCGCGGTCACACTGCTATCGATAGTGGGCACTATCGATAGTATATGATAGGTTTTCGGAAAACATCGACAGTGCAATCGATAGTTCTCCACCTGTAGTTCAAAAAACATCGCTGACATTTAATAAGAGTTTAATTTTCAATGTTATATAGAAATCCAATAAATGCAAGTATTTCGAATAGGCCAATCATGTATAGAATTGATTCATCAATCGTATAAAATTTAGTGGGCATGGCTAAATGTTCCACATAGACAGTATTATTCAACGGAACAAAGAATATGAGGAATTGGTCGTTTTTTTAAATCGAATTTGAATTCGCCGCAGTTCGCCGCAGTTCGCCGCAATTCGCTTTAGCAACAATGAGTCTCATTCCATACACAAATGCTGCGCATTCCATACACAAAAGTTGCGGCAACATTTACTTGAAAAACGTTTTTTGGTCAAAATAAAATACATTAAGGTAATTAAAAGAAGCAATCTTGTAGAAAATACATTTATCTATGGGATAAAGCTAAGTCGGCAAATCTATATAGCTTGAAATATAGGCAATACCCGATTCGCCGCAGTTTAGCTTTTGCAACAATGTGTCTCATTCCATACACAAACATGTTGCTAATTCCATGCACACATACCCTGGGGGTAATGGATGTTATAGAATTGTGAATACGTTTGTCTTCCAAGGCTCAGTAGGTATCAGGATCGACATAAATATATACAAGATACTTATAATGTACTTGAATATGTCTAAAGAATATCAATTTGATTAAAGGTCTTTGTAAATTACGTTATATCGTCATATAAAATTAACGAAATAGGGTATACAATGGACCATACACGCATCGTGTCATCCAATACCAGCAACATTGCGACTGATTTTTTGTTGAACTATTTTGTTTAAACATTGTTTTAGTCAAAATACAATAAAAGCAAGGACTAAAAGCTAAACAATTGTGTAGAAAATTGATTCATTAATCGGTGAAAATTAGGTGGGCATGGCTAAATGTTATATCTAGCTAGTAATATTCGACGGAATATCAAAATCGAGGAATATGAATAATAGAACTTGAATTCGTCAGTATATTTACGGTATATCTTGGTATATTTCTGAGTGTCGGACCGTATATGTAATCGATTAGTTCACGGTCACACTGATTAAAGAAGAAGAAGGTAAATAAATATTTGGTAAATAAATAAATTAATAGATACTATAGTATCTAGTGATAGCTCGATTTATCTAAATCTGGATGGATTAAAGTCCCTGCTACTGCTGAAGTGAACGCCGGATTGTCCCCTCCCCGTGCGCTGCAGGCTGTGCTGCTTGGAGTGGTGGAGATAGTGGGCGTAAAAGTTGGTCCAATTCCTGCTAATAGATACAAAAACACAGAGTTGTGACAACGAATCCAGCGGCCAAACCGACCAAGCCGTCAAACAAAAAACCACGGGAAATGTAAATAATGTTGAAAATGTTTGTAAAAATTTGTACTTACGACCTCATTGTATACAGGGGCAAACACAGAACTGCGCAGCAAGATGCCATATTCATCGCATTTATGGAGAGACACCCAATGATAGCCAAAAACTACCTTAAGGGTGATAAGCTGGCAGCTGAGGCCGCCTGGAAGCGGCTTTCAAAGGAGTTAAATAGCGTGGGTCCGCCAGTCAAAGAAGTTTGTGAGTGGAAAAGAGTAAGTGCCGAGCAATTGCGCTATGTTCCGTCATCTCACTTGGCTCGTGATAGGTATGGAAAGACTGGAAAAGCTGCATTCGTAAAAAGATTACCAATAACAGGCTGGAAGATTCAAATGCCAGCGGCAAAGGCTCGCTGTATCAGGATACACTCACTGCTCTAGAGGATGCAGTGGCCGTGATCTGTGACTTGTATGATATGTCCGACAGAGTAGTCGAATCTCGTCCAAAGGCACGTCCAGAGATTTCCAACAGTTTGCAACTGCAGGACATTAAGACCGACAACGACGAGGTCACAGCCACAGATGACGGTAAGACAAAAATATCAAGGCGCAACAAATTTATGTACTATTTTTTTTTATGTAAAGATGATGAGGAAGAAGATGACTGCTACAGCCGGGTCAATGACAGACGTATGAGTGTGAAATTGGAGCGCACTAGCACTTCGCAAACTCCATCTGCCAAAAAGCGCAAGCTGGTAAACGATGCAAATGCATTAGAAATTGAACGCGAGAGCACGGTGCCGATGCTAATGGACATTGCAAAGGAGCTTCGAGACATGAATAGACAGACTCGCTTGAACGCCCAGCGCACAGAAGCCAATACGGACGCGCTTTTGGCTCTAGGCACACAGATCTCAGACCTAATGCAGCAGCAGCTTAAGGAGCGCAAGCGGCTTAATGCTATAATGGAGAAATTTGTTCTAAAAATGGAAACAACCGACTAGCTAGTTCCACTATTTTTATTATGGTTTTCTAAAGAAAATATTGAAAGTGTCCCCCAAGACCAGGAAAGCAAGATCTGTTCACTTTCACTACATTATAATTAATGTAAACTAGGCGCATAATGGGGAACCATGGGCATTTTTGAGAGATGTGAAACGGCGATTGGCCAAACGATAAAATAAACAATTTGTTTCCTTTGGAAAATGGAAACGCAGTTTGTGCGGGAACCTTTTGAATTGAATTTTCTTGTCAAAATTTGTAGTGTACTGTTTTTTAATTCCAATATCGTTTCTAGGTCTTTCGTTAAACAATTTCCGGATCAGAGGGTCACGACTACAATTATTGATGAGCAAATGAATAGGGGAAAGATATAATTTAAGCGCATTAACATAAATATGAACCTCTATACACATATGTCACGATATTACTATTTTTAAATATATTTTATTCTTTATTTTTTTTTTAAACACCATGTCTAGCTCACACACCTTGCAAATTTGCATATTTTTTATAGTATTTTTCAAGTCGCGCTATGGATTCACCCTCTTGTCCACTGCAGCAATGCAGAAAATTTAATTTTGTAAGCAATACAATAAAAGGTGTCCTTAGAATTAAACAATCTTGCTGAGAGTAGATTCATCAATCGGATACAATTATTTTTTCAGGGATGGGGGTCCCATCTAGCTAGTAATATTGAACCGAATATAGAAAACGAGGAGTATGATGGAGTTTGGTATATTATTGGTATGTTTTGAAACTGTGAAGTGTATTTCGGTATATTTCTGAGCAAGCCAGCCGGCGCGGATTTTCATTTTTCAATTTATAAATTTGTTAAATTTGTTAAAAAATTGCGAAAAAATGTCGCGGGATTCACTAGAGCAGCAGGTGCGAAAGTACGGCGAAAGAGGGCAGAGAGATGAACTGGAGTTGCTTATTAAAAGTACTTCAGTAAAACAGGTAGGTCTCAAATTGTGTGTGCAAGGCATCAACAAGTCGTCCTTACCATAGACGTGCTGCCTAGCACCGCGTCTGGCATGCTCCCCATCAACTAATATTGTTTCATCAGTTAACAGACACTCTGAATGCCACGATATCCCGAAGTGAAGGTATCAATTTCTGGAACTACTTTCTGCTGGCCTGTGACACTGAGAGCGAGGAGTCCAAGAAGAAACGGTTCGCACTCGTCCAATGTTTTATGGATGGACTGCGTAGTGTAGAGCTGAACTACAAACAATCCTTCGATTTGATCACACGATTGGCCCAGGACTTGCCCACCTTCTCTGCTGATGAACTGGCTTGGATTATTGAGCACTGTGTGGATGGCATGCGACAGGGAGACGCCAAGTGCGTTGGTTGGAAGGATTTGTTGCCAGATTCACTGGCTCTGCTTTCGGCAACTCCACGTTTTATACTAAATGGGGTGGGAACCGATGGAACCGAGTATAGAAACAACACAGTGAAAAGTATATGTACCATGCGTTGGCCGTCTTCAATCCTGACCCCCATTGCTGACATGTTCAAGTAAGTTGCGCCCATAGAATGCTAAAAAATTCTACTAAAATTTCCGTTTGTTTAGGGCCATAAATCTCAGCAACGGAGAAATTTTGACCGTATTAAACAAGTTCTCCGGGGCTCTGCAGGAGCTATCGCCAATGGAGCTACCAGCTCTGTGCTTCCAGCTCTTTTCGATGTGCCAAAATGCCTCACAACTGATTGTACCGCTGCTGGCATTGGAGAAGTATTTTCAACGCAATTACTATAAGCGATTGTTCTCAGACATGAGCAGCAATTCTACAGATTTCGACAGCATAGGTTCGGCTAATTATTTCAATAATTTACTGTGTGTCTTTCTATAATTTGTTAATTTGTACCATCAGATCCATTTTCGGACAAAGAGCTGCGGGAGGCCGAAGAGACTATACTCCATCATTTGAATTACTGTACTATGTATAAGCTAACTGAGAAACATCTGGCTATAATGTTGAGGGTGAATATGGGCCCAGCTAAATTGAATGAATTCTAATGTTAGTTTGTTTTTGCAGAACTTCTCGCATTTGCCCGATGTCATTCTCACGCCATTCATGCTCAGCGCCATTATTTCCATGACAAGTGTGAATCGTGATCCAGAATCTGCGCGCATTTCTCGATCCATTTTGCTGCCATTCTTGCGAAATGTTATAAAGAATAATGAAGAAGAGATAACATTGGCAGACTATTCCGTTTGGTATCGTGATTCGTTACAGCGCAAACAAGTCGACTTGCAGCAGGTCTTAACGGTGCTCATAGATCAGAACAAAGATGGAAAAGATGTGATAACACCAGGACTAGTCCACCTAGTATTTTTTCTGCTTAAATCGCACTCGCCCAAAATGCATACTCTAGCAATTACTTTTTTAACAAAGTTCATTCGCAAACGTTTCATCTTTGGGCAAGGCATCATTAGACTCCTCTCTGAGTGGATGATTGTACATCAAGATCAAAACCAGTTTTCGGGTTGGTATTGGATTCCCCATAATAATTCTTAAATAACTATGTATTTTTTCTAGAATGTTTAACACTATTAAGTGTAGCTGACACGTACACCGTCTCAGAATGCACTAAAACCATCCAAACAGTTATGGAGCATATGCTATGGGCAAGTCATTCAAATACATGTATATTTGTATTCTTCTATTAACAAATTATTCATTTTGTTAAAGCTGCCTGGAGAACAAGCCATGCGCATGATGAACTTTCTTTTGCCCCTGCTGAAGATTTCGAATCGAGTTCGGGATGCCCTGATTGATGTGCTGTGCAAAGCAATGGGTTCTAGGTGGGTACCAGACCCAATCAATCAAAAATCGTTATATATTTTATAGCCTTTGTCATTTCTAATAATTCATTATTATGCCATTAATAATATCTAGCGGCATGCAAAAACGTCGGATGGCCATTTACGGATTTTGCATGATCCTTAAACAGCTTAACAACAGTAACGCACTGCGTCAGACCTCCAGTGCAACCAGTTTCTGTACTCAGCAGAGCATTTCCGGGTACTCAATGATGACACAAAATAGCCTAGGAAGTCGAAGCAATCCGCAGCGCAATTTCGACATGCTTACTCTGGAAATTATAGGAATGCTGCGAAATTGTTTGCAGCAGCAGTTTGACATACGATGTACGCTTTATGAAAGTAAGTAACCGAAGTGCATACAGCCGATATTCTTCTGATTATTTTGGAATGTACCTCTCACAGATCTGCAACGGGCCGTGGAGCTAAATGCAAAGCTTGTGCCTCACGTCTTGCAAGTGATTGATTGGCATTTTCGAAGCTTTTTTGACACTCCCTCTGCAGAGGAGGCTGCCGACGATTTAGACACAGTATTTCGTATACGGTACGATCAGCTGGTCACTGCCAGCGATCAACAACATATGGAAATTCAGCTTAAAGATAACCTGGGAAAGTTGGTTCAATTCGTGGCTAACTGCTTGGTTACCTTTGAGCGTGCTCCTTCCGGCTATGACACACGTGAGATAAGTCGTCTCCTGGCCTTATGCGTGCAACGAATGGTGGCCAACAGATTGCCAATAGACGACGTTGTAAGTTTGGCGTTGTCTCATAACTCATGAAATCAACTAATTCATTCATACATATTTTCCCAGTCCCCTCCAGCCACCCACCTGAAATGCGCTCTAGTTCTGCAACAACTCAATCTTATTGAAGGAATCGTTTCCCACTTATTGCTCAGCTCCAAGCCAAGCAACGATGCCATATGTCAAGTTCTGCCCCTATTTAAGCAGCATTGCAAGTTATTAGACGATCTTAAGACTTTGGCTGGCTCCTCCAAGAAGCTACAGAAACAATCAAAGAAAACTGTCAGCAATGATACCACAACTTCCATTTTCAATCTTACTGTAAATGGAATCCCAATGAAGAGCATGTGCACACAACCTGAGAATATATGGGACTTGTCTATATTGGATAAGCTTCTTCATCTACTCCTCGAGTGAGTGCCATTTCGACTGCGCCGATTCCAATGTACATGTTTTGAAAATTACTTTTCAGTGACGTCGTTCCATTTGCCGCGTCTGAGAAAACCATTCAGTTGCGGTCCAACGAGTCCCTGGTTCGTTATGTTGTGCAGATTACCGCCGAAAAAGTGAAAAACATTCGGCTTGAACCTGATTACAAGCAACTAGCTTACAGCAAACGTACCTTTAAGCAGTTAACAGACATCACCAAGATTATTTACGAGCGCTGCATTCGACGGTTGCCTGAGCTGTGGCGAGACTTTGACATGCAGACATCCTCTCTGGCGGCTCAATGTTTTGTTGAGTGCCTACGAACAGCCCACGAAACCTATAGCAAGAAGTTCAAAGAATATGTCAAGGGATTTGGTAAGACGAATGAAAAACTATTTTTGAAGCAGAACTCTCATAAACTAATAACGTTTTATTAATCGTAGATATGGCATCCCTGAACAGAAGCAAAGCAGTGACGTACGTTGTCCAGGATGTGTTAGACGAGTTTATGAAAGAGTATGCCAGTGATGACTCACTTAACAAAGATACCTTTATCGCGAAATTGCCGGTATATCTTCTGGAGTCATTGGAAATTCTGTTCGACCATATAGATTATGGAGAGCGTGCGGCAACTGAGTCCTATACTTGGCTCCTCAATTTTTGTCGTACTCACGAGTTGGTTAATCCCGAAATGGGCTTAGTGCATAACCTTCTATTTATACAGCGTCAGAAAACGCACTCGGGTCCCTTTTTTGAAAGCATTGCCAGACAATTGGGGCATGTGCTTGGCGCTCTTAATGATAATATATCAATAGATCTCCCAGATCCAGGTCTAAAGTCGATAAGCACAATCACCGCTGAGAGCTGCTTGCAACATCTCTATGTTGCCGTCCAGAAGCAGCTCCTAAATGTAGAATATTTCGTCGTAAAGGCCAACAATTTAAGCTACAAATGTCAACTAGTGCCGGAATCAGATCAAAGTTATTGGCGGGGAAATCTAGATGTCATGGAGCGTTCTATTTGCACTCAAATAATTCATATTACGCGCACGCTACTGGCTCTAACCAATGTCTGCATTCCTCTGGGATCGTCTATGGATGGACTAATGAAATTGTTGATACAGCACTATATATGCCTGAAGAACCTGACAAGGCACTATTTGTCCTGCTGCACATCAGACACCAGCAACGCTAACATGCGAAGCACTAAGTAAGTCCAGTACGGAAACATTTTTCACAGTACTAGTATTATATTCACTCCTTACAGATTCGAACTGCTACTACGGGAAGTAGGAAAGCAACTGCCGGCCAATGTCTATGAACTTATTACTTACATAGAAGCTAATACTCTCGATGAGGACAATCAGCATCTCAAGACACGCAACGTACAAGCACAGCGCGCAAAAGTTCTGAGAGAGACTCGCCTTATTCCCAAAGTAATAATGGTTATTGAGGACTTCAACAAGCACATAATTCTATTGTCTAAGAAGACCAAAACCTTTAATAGACTAACAGATTATCTGCATCTTGGAACCATGCGGGACTTTGATATCAAATCAACTGATCTCAAAGCGGCAATAGAACGTAGTTTAACGGACACCCATGAGGTCGCTGAAGATGACTGCACTACAGAGGATATGGAGGACATTGATCACTCTAATGATCCAAGCAATGATGAGGAAGAAGAGGCAGAGACGGAAATAATACAAGCCCCTAATAAGAGACAACGACAGAGACGAGCTCCTATCAGTGATACGGAGGAGTCGCAACCAAAGCGTAGACGGGGTCAAAAAGCTAAAATAGTACAGAGTGCCAAACCACAAAGCGATGATGAGCAGGAAAGCAATGAAGAGCAACTTGAAACCATTCAGACAACGAAGCTGCGTAACAGAACTAAAAAGCGCCAAACGAAAAAGTCCACTCGTCTTTCGAATGAGGAGGAGTCAGCTGAGGAAAGAGGTCCGACCGAGCAGCGCACAAAAGACATGCGTAAATCACAGGAACGCGATACGGGGGTAAAGCCGCGTAGGCTCGGTTTGTTACGTTCTGGAAAGAAATAAATGCGATTTCTGACTGAATCATGACATGAGAGGATACTCTCAACGCGTGTACTGTGACCATCATCTTCTTCATCACTGTTTTTCGTCATTTTGAGGTAAATCCATTTAAGTTTTTAACTTGTGTTTTATGTACTTGTGCGCAAATTTGATGCCCGCACGCAATAGAGACTTTGCCGCCCACTCACCCCACCCTCAACATCATAGCAGGGTCCAGCCATCATTTTATTGCACTTGAAAACTTAATTAGGCCAAAATGCGGTGTGAACGCCTGTTTCTGTACAAGAGAGAATATTTTCGTTTGCCAGCTGTGCGAGATTTTTATTACACGCATCAAATGTAATTTGTTACAAATTTGATGTGTTTCTATTTTCTTGAAAACGGCATAAATAAAAGAAAAGTTGTATGATAGGGGATGGTAGGCGGGCCAGCTTTTTCTGATGGTCTGCCAACTGTTTTCTTTTTTTTCCATGGGTCCATCATCGAAATGCGTGGCAGGTTTTATGACCAGGTAACTTTTGATTTGAGCTGAGAGGGTGCTCAATTACTGTAGGCTTTCCCTCGGATTATCGACTAAACGAAGCTCTTAGTTTCAAATATATGTATATTCTGTTTACATTCATTTCTTACATTGCAGTTTAAGAACTCAAATACATATGCTAACATACATACTTTCATAGTGCCAGCAGCTCTGACGAGCACTGGTTCCCTGTGCTGGAATTTCCGAATGAAATTAATTTTGTTTTTCAACCCATTTGATGGGCTTCCCAATAAAAATACATTGAACTTAAATTCTGATACATACATATGTGTTTAAGATTTTATTGCTTTCAATATAATCATTAATTTATTAGTATTATTAGTTTGTAGCAAAGTGCGAAACAAAATAAAGTTCAACCTCTCTGTTTTAGTTTTTTCTTGTATTCATCGTTTTTTACTGGGTGTAAAGAGTGTAGTAGGATGTAGCCTTAGGATTCCTCTCATCGTCATCAGCACCTTTTGTCTTGCTCTTGTTTGCTTCGTTAGCGAACTGAGCATTTGCATCGAAAAATATAAACATTTTGTATTTTTTGTGATTGATGTAGATGCGATTCTCAATCTAGTTCTGTGCTATATTTGCGCATATTTAACAAGTTGAGCGTCAAGTGTTTCGCCCCCAGAGGAGGGTAGTCAAATTTATTATTCAAATTTCCGCAGCTGATTTGCCTGAATTTATTATTAAGCATTACAGCAGCAACTTGAGTTTTTTGTTTTAATTCACTTAAAACTACATAAATTCAACTTTACATGCGAGGCGACAACTCACGTGCCCCTGAGCCCCTGTGCTGGTGGCATGTGAGCTTAATTTCCAATAGATACAAATATATCTACGCCTTGTCGCGCGGCTCTGGCTTCTTTCCGCCGGCCGCCCCTTAAAAGCGCCGAGACTGTCGCAGGGCCAGAGCGACTTTAGTTTACCTCGCTTAATTCAATGAAAAGCACAGTGTGAGACTTGACGAATAGTTAGTCGATCGGTCGAGCGCAACGACAACGGTTCTTTCAATTACCAGATCTACTCGCAGTGCTTTATAGCAGCTCGTCCCAAGATGATCTCCGATTGGTCTTGCAACAGTTTGCTGTTGCTGCTGATGTCGTTGGCCATGTGTCCTTGGGCTGGCGCCAAGTTACGTAAGTGTCAAGCTGTGCGGATTGGGCGGGAAAGTGTGATTTGATTGGGGTACTTCTCCGATTGAAGCGACTAACGTCACAAATTTTATTCAATGTCCTTGAAAAAGTCTTTGTTGTGCCGCACGTAACAGTTTGGTCGGGCAATGCGTCGATAGCACCTGACTTGCATATAATTACCGTTTGTTGACACCCACAAGGTTGATTTATAGCAAAAAACAAAAAAATTACTTTAAAACTATTCCATTAATTAAAATATCGAAAATCGAAAACACATAATAATTTTTGTATCAAATCGTCCACAGCTTCCTCTATAAAACCATGTGCCCGAGATGATCCTCAGCTAGAACGCTGCATCATTAATGCAGTGTACCAGATAAAGCCGCGACTTATGCATGGGGATCTGGGAGACGGATATAAAACGCCACCATTGGAGCCTCTGTCTTTGGATAACATAGAACTCGGCCAAAGTAGTCAGTTCCAGGCTGTGTTTACACACCTCGAGGCTAGTGGAGGCAGCAACTTTATTATTGATCGTCTTATGTAGGTAGAGCTAATGGCTAATCAAGAATCCATCAATTAATCTATTTATCTCTTTACTGAAGTGCCAAACCAGCACAGATATCCTACGATCTTTGGATAACTCTGCCGCGCATAGACTTTAAGGGCAAGTATTCTATGCACCTTAATCTGCTGCTTTTGGATATTAAGGGAAGAGGAAACATGCATGGATACGCCGGTGAGTTCGAACATTCAGTAAACGGAAAGACCCCCTGTTACAATATAAACGATACCCATCAAATAGAAAACGCTAAGGCTTTTGTCAAGATGCGTGGCACTCGCTATCTGCGAGACGGGCAAGAGTACGTAAAGTTCACCAAGATGACCATGCGCATACAATTTAAGGACTTTAAGTTGAACTTAGAAAACCTCTTCAACGGCGATCGTATTTTGGGAGAAGTGGGAAACACCCTCATCAATAGCAATCAGGAATTATATCTGAATGAAATTATTCCTGGTCTGGAGCGTGGTCTATCTAAAAAGTTTTTGGATGTGGCCAACGAAATCCTGGATACCGCTACCTTTGATGAAATGTTCCCGCCTGGAAGGACTATTATTAATCCGATTTCTTTTCCCTCACCCTCAGCGGGACTCGGTCCATCCATATTTGAGCCGCCATTTGCATCGAAAAACCCTGCTGGTAGTATTTTAGATCATCCTTGATATTGAAATACACTTGAAAACTAAGTCTCTCAAGATTTATGGAAATAATATAGTACATATGCTATGCTATATGATATTGTGCTCCGATTTGGATTCTTTTTAGCCGCTCTAGTGATTAGTGATACTTCATAGGGTCGGAGGCTCTTCCTTCCCGACGTGGCAAACATCTTCTCAAATTAGTAATAGCTCTGAAAGGGTACACAAAAGTTGTGTTCTTTCGATCTATTATATTTGATATGGATCGAATAATACGAACTTTGATTATCAAATTTTAGTTAGTCTTGTAGTATTGTATTTAATGCATTAAATTATAAAATATTGTATGTTGGAAATCGGAGTAATCCTATTTTTTATTTCCGATTTTCAATCGTGAATATTCCACACAAATTAAACCAATACTCTTGCGTGTACCAGTCTTCGGAGGTACAGTCAGCTCAGCCTTGCCACACGCTAATTTGCCTTAGAGCGCTTAATGCCCTACTCCATTTGCTGGTGGAGGCTTTTGGAGAAGCTGGGAAAACTTTTTAATCCGCCACGAAGCTTGCCCTGTTTTTGCATATTAAGCTAAAAGTTTTGAAAATGTGTAGTCACCGCCTAACGGCGCCGGGGGGACAGTTTAAAGGAGCACACACACACACACTTCTCCAACATTACACCTGTTCAATGGGTCAGGGCACGTAGTTCCCTTTCAGTATTCCGCGGCTCTTTCTGCGGCTCCTGCTTGTGATTAATCACCGGCAACGACAAAGATGAATTTACAGAGATTTTTTTTCGTAAAAGTTTTTACTTTCGTCTTGGCGGGGATGGGCGGTTAATTGCGTTGGACTTGGACTTGGACTCGTGGCCAAGAAAAAGTGTTGCCCCTGTAGGGAAATTTGGGGTGGCCCTAATTAAATTCATGCGACGCAGCTGTCACAGCCAAGAAAAAAGCATTATCGACTTTTTAGGCGCTTAATATTTCAAACGAAAATGTTTTTGATGTAAACAGAGGCAAGTCAAAGAAAGCCTTGGCAACATCTTCAGCTTCGCTTCCGCGCTGGCTGGCCAATGCCTTGCGAAGTGTCGCCGGCATTAATTTCATTTATTAATTTTTAACTACGCCCGCGCAACAAAATAAAAGCAACTTGATAAATGGAGAGCTAGCCAGTGGAAAGGGCGTTGGGGTGGGAGGAAATCTTTTGCTCTTCTTTCATTGTGCGCGTCCCCATTTTTGTCTGCTTTCTTTTTACCATCGCTTTTCTTTACTGACTTTTTTTTTTGTTAATTTTTTTTAATTCTTTGCTTTTCACTTGAAAGACGCTTGAAACGTGGAGATGCGTCGAGGCTCGCTAATGTCCTTTCTTTTATCATTAAGTAGAAAACGTGGGTGCCTGGGTGCCTGGGTGCCTGGGTGTCTGTTGGGGTTGGTTGGCTGGTTGGTTGGGTGGGTGGATTGTTTCGGGCGTGGCAGGCCCATTTCGTTGTCCGAGGTATGGGGCAGTGGCGAAGCGCAGGTATTTCGGCGGCCATTAGTGGAAAAGCCCCCACTGTCGGCTTAAAGTTCTAAGGTTGCGATTCTTTACATTGAACAATGAAAGCAGATTTATATGACAACTAAATGGAACGTTAATAATTAATAAACAATTTGTATTAGGCTCCTCTTATATTTTTACCAGCCCTTAAACCTTCTTGAGCTTCGAGAATTTTGACAAGAAAAATATAACATTGTAATAAATATATATGACCAAATGTGGTTCCCACTTGTTTGCTTTTGAGTATTAAGCTGTTGTTCATATATCAGTTAGAACAATTTTAAGTCTGGCTGACTTTTGTGTCCCCTCTAGCTATCTGAGCGCAGTCGCAAGTGCAAACAAACCCAGAGTCCGGATAGAGATCCACAATAGTCGGCGAGGCGATACGTTCCTCGAAGGAAGCATACTGTCGGCGGTGGTGAATGAATTCCAGACTGACCTTGTCGTTGAATCGACGGTGGGGCTTATCGCCGAACGGCTTGTATCTCTGGAAGAGTTCGCGCATTATTTCGTTGGGGTATTTCAGATAATTCTGTGTTATCGGATAGGGAGTGACTTTGTCATTGCGTCGAATGAGGACTTCATCCTGCATCAGGGATGTCTTTGCATTATCATTTTCCCACATTCCCTTCTGGATTTGACCAGTGTGCATATGATAGAATACACCCTCGCCATTTTTGTATCCGCGCGCAAAGTGACCTTCGTAACGATTGCCATTAGCTGAAATTCGGGATAGTTTTAAAGCAAGAAATCGTATTAAGCTTGTAAGCCATACAGACCATAAAATAAGACGCCCAAGCCATGTCGGAAACCAGTCTCCCATTCACCCACATAGATGCCCCCATCTGCGTACCATTGAATGCCAAGGCCATGTCGTCGATTCCTAAGCCATTCTCCAAAGTAGACACAGCCATCGGGATAGAACTGCTTGCCCTCGCCGCACTTCATATCGTCGAACCACAGCCCCGCATATATCAGCTGCAGCTCTGCGCCACGCTTGCGTAGCATCGATCCAATGCCTTGCCGCTTGTTCATCACCCAATGACCCTCATAGACGAGCTGACCATCGGGCTTCTTTTTGTCAGAAAAGTACTTGGCAGTTCGCTTTGCCGTCTTCTTCACGCCCCAGCCCTGGTGCTGGTTGCATTGCCAGTAGCCAGCATAGGAGCCGCCGCCAGGAAAGTAGAAAGTGGACCTTCTCCCAGTACTGCAAACCGGCTTGTTGGGGCAGAAATAGCGCTCCAAGCAGGTACCCATTCTGTTAACAACAATTTGTGTATACTTTTATGCTTGATTTTTCTGGTGTGAGTATTGAGTAATGCATATCCAGTTGATTTTAGCCTACTTCATATTTAAAATAATTCAATTCCCTTTGATTCAAAACATGCTTGAAAGGGAAATGTCCCTTATTTGGTCTTCAGAGCATTCGTTTTATTTCATTACAAAATTGTGCTGAAAATATACAACTTACTCTTACATACATATGATTAAAAGTCCTGAAACATATAGAGAACCGAATGTAGACATTTCGTGGACTTAAAAGTGTCCGAACATCAGTCCAATTTCCATTTCTCGTTTTATAAATAATGCGAATGCGAATACAGAGAAGAGCGAAACGTGTCAGCAACACACTTGAAAAGTTATTGGGGTTAGGATTTGAATGAGCATCGAACATAAATGTAAATCACAAAGAACCTGAGGGGAGCAAAAAGGTGGAAAGGTTATGCGTGAAGTGTGGATGGATGGGTCATCGGATGGGTCTACTTTTACGTCCTGTTTGTGTCATTCAAATTATGAGCTTAGTGTGTCTAACGTCTCTGGAGAGCTTGGAGTTAGGAAATCAAAACACAGTTATCCAAACCAAGTCAGGTGTTTCGACGGAAAGATACCCGCTGTTTTCGGAAATCGTACGAATTCTAAGGTTTTCGAATGGACTGCATATCTACCTATGGACCTATATACCTGTCCATCGACAGAATAACACAAAACTTATAGTCTTTATAGAAAGACCAAAAGCCCAAGCTGTCTTTGATTGAATAATAACGTTGAACAACTTGACCCACATTTAAAATGGAGAGTGAGGGCTACACACGGATACAAGGGAAAGCCGAAGAAGTTTCCTTTCATGGAAATGCACTTTGTAACATCTCTTGAATTACAAATGCTTGCTGATTTTGCCTTTCATACCTACGGAATGAACCCGGAATCGATTCATATTTAAGATTCGTTTATTCAGCCGGCGGAACCTCTGATTGCAACCCTGACGGGACATTAAATCACGTGCCACCGTAGGACACCTTTGTTATCCCTTTTTCGTTCCCGATTTAGCTCATTTGCATAAACTGCAGCTGCAGTCAGTGTGTGGGGTAATTTTTTGTATTCGAATTTTGTATAAAAAGCGTGCCGCTTGCCTCCTATTCTTTCAAATAGTAATATGATAATACCACTGTATTTGCAGCTCGTAATACTTAATGTACACTCTCAAAGGCAGAAATCTTGGGATGAGGACTGCTCTATTAATTAATCGTGACAGTCAAAATATAACACTATTAATAAAGCAACTAACTCGGCAAACGGAACGGATCAGTTCAGTTAATTTTGCCATTTGGGGTGAACAAGTGAAGCGGATTTTAGCCTGTGGGCAAAATAATTGCAAGTGACAGGCGCTTTAATTTTTCTTCCTCTTCGACAGCCTATTTTTAGTCGGGGAAGTCTGGGACGAAGACCCGTTGCCATGTTTATGATAAACTTAATTCAGTGTAAATGAACGGCCCCATTGGCTGGATGGCGGATAGGTGGATGGGTGGAGGCTGGAGGGTGGAGCGTGGATGGGGCGGGTGGAAGTTTCCGCTAACCACAGTTAGGGAACACATTTTCTTCTTGCTTTTCATCCCATTCATCTTCTTGTTTTGATAAACTTCAAATAAACAAATCAGTGAAAGAAAAGCAAAGTATAGAACTCAGAATGGTGAAAACTTTTTGCGTTTGCGGTTGAATGAAATGGAAAATTTTAATTGCTGTGCCGCGTATTGGAGGAGCTCTTGTGCTCTTGTAGCTGTAGCGCTAAGGATATATATACATACATATAAGGAAATTTATGTACATGAAAACTTTCATCAGGTTCTCTTGTTCCGTTCCCCAACAAACCAACAAACTGATGAAGAACCCCAGCTCTAAGTAATTTAAATTATTGCAAAGCGCACACAAGCGCAAATGAGGACTGAACGCGAGAAGAAGGACGCAAATTCCACTGATTTTTTCATTAAGCTCATGTCAGATTAGCAAGAAGGAAAGAACAGGAGTGAGGCTGAGGCAGAGGCAGAGACAGAGACAAAATGAAAGGGAGTTGGAGCTTGGTTGAACCAAAAGACAGAAGGGGGCACGGGCACGGGCACAGGCACACACGGGAGCCATAAATTATTTGCCCCGAGCCAACCCTTGGAAAAGCGCAAAACTTTTTTTACATTGCCAGACAGAGTAACAATACAAAAACTGTACAATACAGCAACGACATTTGTTATAAATTAAGTGATGGGGGTGCTCAATATTAAAAAATGTGAAATACGGTGTTTGGGTGGCGGCAATCCTGTGAGGACACAGGGTCTTGCAATCGAATTGCGAGGAAACACCCCATTGGTGTCAATGGGTGTGGTAGGTGTACTCTATCGGGCATTTAGTTAAAATCTATTAAAAATCATAAGAACGGCTTTTCCTCTTGGAAATTCATAGATTTAAAACATATTTTTATGAAAAAGTATACTGCGTTCTGGATAGGGTTGTTTCTTGTGCCTGAACTTTAGGCGGAGATAAATCAGGAGAAAGTGAGTGCAGTAGGGGATGGTTTGAGAGCTCATTCGATGACCGACATTGCCAGAACGTCCTTTGTTTTAGGCGTTTAACCCTTTGAAGCTCCACATTGTTCTCAACCCTCGGACAAGGGCTGGACAGAGAGCAGTTAACCAATGAGAACTCAGGTTCTAGCTAACCCTTTTTCAACTGATAAGGGTGTACTTGGGGCGTGCCACACCCTCACCCCCACCCCTCCGCTCTGCAGATAGAGCCAATTCTCGAATTTTTAAAAAGTTCGGTTTTTCTTACGTTGTTGTTTGTGTTTTCGAAAACTTTGATTCACTTATTTGCATGCGCCAAAGTTTCTTCATCTGGAAAGAAAAACGGAGAAGCGGAAGAACGGAAAAAGAGAGGCAACCAAAAATTGTGCTCGAAACAAATTAACAGTCCAGTGATTATTGTCAAAAGCAAAGAACGAGGAAGGCAAAACAAGTGCCTATCGAGCGGTCTCCCCCACGCCGCTATTCCCCCCCACCCATCGAGCAATTCAAAAATTAGAAAAGGGCATAATTTTAATGAACTTTCTTGTTGAGCCGTGGTCGTGGTCGTGGTCGCCACCCATATAAATACTCTCTGGTAGCCAGAGCAGCTGTCGAAAAAGGACTTACAAGTTTGCATTCTGCTTTGCCCACTTGTCTTGGCTTTTGAGTTGTTTCGTGAGCCTCTTTGATGGGAGTTTGTTTTTCAAACGGACTTTTTTAGTGAAGCCAAGAAAATGAAGCAAAGTTACACGCTGAGCTCGGTTGGTTAAGAGAGACGGAACCCCGGAGAAATACGATGATGGACAAGATGATGGCATCGTTCAAACTTCTCTGGCATTAATCACTTCCACTCAAATGATGCCTGGTCCTAATTGCACCTCCGCTTGCCGCGTGCTCAGTCCCTTTTCAATGCAACTGTAAATTGAAATGGGTCTCAAATTGCAGCGGCTGCATGCCAAAAAAAGAAGGAGGAGAACACCTGCCTTTCCCATCGACTGCCGACATTTCTAATGCTCACGCCCGACTGCTGCCAAATGAAGGACAGCCGAAACTATTCAAGCTGATACGCAGTTATTATGCAAAACAAGATGGATCTATATCGAAAGATACGAGTATATAATCGATCGACTTGCAGATAATCAAAGGGAGAAACAGCTGGCCTGGCAGGTATTGAGTAACCGGATTCCTGTACAGAATTCGTTTTACATACGTGTAGCATTGGAGATAGTTTTCTCAAGTTCGGAAAGATACTATGTTCTTGCATGTAAAGCCTTTCGAAATTCATTGGATCTGCCTGCTAGTCTTCACAACGAAATACAGAAGAAAAGTACCTTCCAATTGTCTGGAGACAAACACAAAATGATTGATTGGAGGCCAGGCTGGACAGTCAGGTACCCATTAAGGACCTCATCCAATATTCTCCTAAACACAATCTCGCCTAATATTTTACGCTCATTTAGGGCATTACAGAAACATAGCTAACGGATTTTGTGCAACGCACCCTGCTCCGAACAATGGCTGTAACTCTTGAGCGGGCCCGAAAGGAATTGCAACTGTGGATCAGGGGATCACAATGAAGCGGATGGGAAAACTAAAACCAACGCCCGCTTGACATTTGGCTGCTAAACAAACAAATGCTGCAAAAAAAGAGGACTGCAAAGGGACACAAGGAAGAAAAAACTGTCAACCTTACGTACAACCGTATGGGTGCAGATTGGGGGGGAGTAGAGCAGGTCAATCAAGGGATAGGGATAGGGATAGGGATAGCACGATGTTGAAGCGCAGTTGCACTACGGTGTTGCCTTTCTAGAGAGACATTTTTTGGTATTTTTGGTATAAAAACTGAAATTGAAATTGTGTCATTTCATGCCAAGAGCTGAAGAGAGCGTAAGGGGAGTAGCAAAGGCGGGGTGGGGGGACGCACACACCTGGCCTTCAAGCAGTTTTACGTCCTTTGTGTACTTTGCTTCTTCCTAACTGTCATTTTTAATTGTTTGTGTTTAACGGTTATCAGGCGAGGGCCGAGAACACAAGAATTTATCGAAATTTGTTGTTTTTCTTTGGGCTTTTTATGGCCTGAACTCTTGACGTGGCCAGTTGCCCATTAAGCTTACTTTTAAGTGCCATTCTGTCCCATTCATCTGCGTCTCTTCTACTTGAAAAATTTGCGCATGCACAGCAATTTCTCGTCTCGCCTTTCACTTTGTTTCTCATTTTCATTTTCTTCCGTCTCCTTCTCCTTCTCCGTATTCCAATCTTAATTTTTTTGTTGTTGCCGCTTTGGGGTTGAAAATAATTCATTTATGCAAATGAGGGGGTGTTTAAAATTAAGCAAAGAGCACGTAGGCCAAAAGTAGCGGTAGCACCAACAGCAGAGCATGATATCGTGGCCATAATGAAGGAGGTGACTGGATGGGTGGTGCAAAGGGGACAAGGGGAGAGTCGACAGCGACAAGGGCAGTGAGG